CAGGTACAAATATTTAATTTTTCGTATTTTGGCCTCCCATATATTATGTTTGAAGAGAAAAACAAATGTTTAATTTTTAGCCCCCCACAGGAAAAATTCCTGGGTCCGCCACTGATACCGATGTACGACGAGCTATTACATGGGGAATCATAACCATACACATGTCACTACTGTACATAAAGTAGCTGTAGAAATGATTTTACCTATATATATATATAGTTTTAATGTTTCTATCGTGAATGCAGATAAGTTATCTACATTCACTCCTAAATCGATATCGTTCTGGGTTTAAAGATTAAAAAATTTATAATAAGACTATTATAACTTTGGAATAAAATATAATTACAAAAATACCTTGATTTTTGCCCAAAAATGACATCATTTTATTAATCTCATGTTACATGAGACATAACCATAAACACAACCATGTGGGGGGGGGGGGTCACTCACTTATAAAAAGAGAGAGAGAGAGAGAGAGAGAGAGAAGCAACACGTAAGATAAGATCCTTTGATACAGTGTTAAACTTTAAAATTTGATACCAAATCTTAACCGTTGATTTCCGTCAATCAACGGTTATAATTTCTTCCAATTAAACTCTTTAATTAATTATTAATTCCCAATAAATGATAACCGTGGATTTGCGGAAATCAACAGTTAGAATTTGGTGTCAAATTTCAAAGTTTGAAAAACACATGTACTTCGAGGAGTACATAGTTACAATATAAGAAAAACATAAATTTTAATATTATAACTATGTACTTTCAAGAATACATAGTTTGCTGGAAAACTTTAAATTCACAATCTATTATCCTATATATATATATATATATATATATATATATATATATATATGGGTTTAGCGGATATACAGTGACTTCACCTAAGAATTGGTGCAGTCATATAAAACTACGTCGATTTATAGTTTGAAAGCATTAAATATGGGAAATTATAATCATACAAAAGTGAAAATAAATATAAAGTATTAAATATGGTGAATCATAATCATACAAAGATAGAAATAAATATAATATTTATATTTTCTACAATTAATTTTGAACACAATCTTTCTTTATCCCACCCAAAATGATGTAGTTTTTAAGTACTGCGCCAATATTTATATGCAGTCACATTACAAATCATTATATATATATATATATATATATGAACGTGCAGTAGGGGATATGATGCAAAGGTGAAAAAGAAATGGACATGAATCAGCAGCTGAAAAGAAAGAAATCTAACCGGGGCTAACGTACTAGTGTAATGTTTATATTTCACGATCAATGATTAGTCCGTAGCTATAAAGCACCGACACTTCAAAAATCCTGACATGTCGTGTCCGACACTTCCCGACACTTTTTGATACTCCGACACTCCCCGACACTCCAACACGCATTATAGAAATTCAAAAAAAGTTTCAAAGGTTACGTTGCGTTGAGTTTTTAGTTCCAACTATTAGATTCGTTGGATTACAATTACCATTTTATTGAGTTTAATATAAATATTTGGGATATCTTATGTTTCTTTGTAAAATTGATGATTATTATAAGGTCAGTTTCATTTTTTTGTTAAACTATTGAATATTAAATATAATATACACTACATAAATTAAAAATATTATTTAATATCAAAATGTGTCATAACGTGTCGAAATCTAATATTTTTTAGAATTAATGTGTCGGAGTGTCGTGTCGTATCGTGTCACGTGTCCCGTGTCAGTATCGGTGCTACATAGGTACGTAGTGTTGATGAGTTAGAATATTCAAAGCAATTTGAGAAAACAATTAAAATATAGTTTTGGGGGAAGCATATAGATATGTTAAAAAAGTTAAACATTAAATAATAAATCAAATCAAGTCAATTATATAAGTGATGGTGTACTTTTTTTATGGGTTTTATGTTTGTTATGTTACATGATGTAACATAATAAACCTGCTCACACAATTGAGAAGAGAGAGAAAAATCAAAAGATGAGACTTACATAAAATTGTGTGTGTAAGAAAGTTATGTTACATCATGTAACATAACAAACATAAAATATTTTTTTATTAAGAAGAAAAGTACCTCTCCCAAGCTCTCAATATATTTAGTGCCTTTAGCAAGTTTAGAATTTGAAATGCAAGAAAGGAACTTTTGTCAATTCTTTTTCGCACTAAACCCCACCATGTGTTCATAAGAAAGCAAAAAACTCTTAACAAAAACTTCTTTTTCATATTATCTGGCAATTCAGTTGATGTATAAGAGCTGAATAGATTGTGAAAAGACTTCGGTTTGATCTTTATCAATACCATTTTTGAAAGAAATATAAAATCTTAATCTCTTATCCATTCCAAACTCGAGATTAGTTACATAGCCATTTTAATTATGAGAATACTCAAGAATCCTACTCCTCAAAAATATAATTAGAGTTGATATAAAAAATAAAAATAAAAAACTCTTACGTTGGGTATATTAAGTGGAATTTTTTATACACTCATTTTATAGTAATTTATGAGGCCTTGTAAGGAACTTGATTTGAATAGAAGCTCTCTGCGGACGTTTGCGTGAAACTGTGGAGATGGATGGATCTGTAAGTGATCCGTGGACTTTTCTGGTGTTGCTAATGAAGCATACCTAAAGTGTTAGAATGCATAGTATAGGATAAGGCCTGATAGTATAAGGTCTGATTGTATAAGACCTGATCGAATTTCAATACTATTCAGCGTTTGACACAGTATTATATAAAATAATATATTGTATAAGATAATATCATCTAGTATTTGGTAATGTACTATATAATACTATATATGATAAAAATAAATATTTTTAATAAAAATATCCTTTAATAAAGAATTTATATAATTCTTCAAAATATGTCATATGATATTAATTTTTATAAAAATTTATTGATCAGTGTGTCCAAAATATAAATTAATTTTTATAAAAATAAAAATATTCAATATTTTAAAAATTAATTTTTATTTTAATATATTAATATTAAAATAATATATTAATTTTTGAGAATTACATTGGTCAACGATGTTAATACATCAATCTCTTATCAGGCCTTATCCTTCACCCTTAGGCTGGATTAAGTTATATATCATTTTGATGTATTAAAGGATTGTGATGTATAAGCTTATACTATACAATGGTCATACCAAACAAATGAAAATGTCATAACGTATAGTATAAGCTTATATTATCATGCCTTATACGTCACACGAAACAAGCCCTTAGATACTTTTAGAAAAGAGATAAAGATAAATTAGGGGGAGAAAGAAGTTGAGTTTTTTTTTTAATTTAAATTTTAAATAAGGGGTCGGATATATTTACTATAAAAAAAGTTTAGCACATTTACAACCAATCTAATTATTATTGATTTTCGTCAATCTAACGGTTATAATTTATTGAGAATTAATAATTAATTAATAAATACGACCCAATAATTTTTAATAAATTATAACCGTTAGATTGACAAAAATCAACGGTAATTAAATTAGTTGTCAAAGTTGTAAATTTTTTTAATGATAAATATATTTTTTTTTATAAAACACAATATTTATTTTTATCTCTCTTTTAAAAAGATTTAAATTTATGTCCTTTAGAAGACATACATTTTCCCTTATACCAAAAACAAAAACCTGTATGCCCCACTTTAGGCATATGATGGAAAATTAGTTTTCCGTTCCTGACCTCGGGAATTCGTCAATTTAGAGTACAAGAAATGTGATAATGTAGTGGATTGAACCCTTTTTTCACTTATAAATATATAAAATTTTATTTTTTTAATTTAAATTTAATTTCCTATCCTTTATTTATTTTTTGAATGATCAATTTTGGTCTCTATTATAATCATAATTCTAATAAACGACGTAATATAAATTGTCACTAGGGGTGTAAATGGGTCAGGCTGGCCCAGCCCAGCCTACGGCTCAGCCTACATTGAGCTCAGCCCAGGCTCGGCCTTTCAGAAAAGTAGAGTAGGCTTAAGCTTATAAAAAAGTTTTTTTAATAAATAGGCCATAGGCCAATTTTGTCAAGCCCGACCTACAGCCTTGTAGGCTGGCCTATTTAATTTATTAAAATAAAATAATAAAATAATATTTATTTTATGTGGCAAAGACACAAAGTACCAAATACCAATATCTCTTACTTTTTGTGCTATTTTATTTTATGAAAGGAAAACTTGTCTAATGTTTTCAAATTTTACATGTTGTTGCCGCTTAATACCATGGAGCAATGGGTACCTTGCTGGATTACGATGTTACTGATGAAGATCTTTCAATAATACTCTTTTTTCCCTTGTCTTGATGGTGGTTTACAGATTTTTAGACGAATGACATTCTCTTGTAGACTTTATTTCAGCATCCAATAATTGTATTTTTCTTATTTTTCCCATTTCTTTGACTCTATTCCTCTATGATATACATTCTAGAGCTGAGGTATTATGTTGACTCTTTCTTGTTTGTCATTTTTTTCTTATGAAAAGTACTAGTGCATGCTTACTCTATACAATTATTTTTTTTGCTTAGTATATATAGTGGGAGGCCTACAAGGTCTGTAGGCCATGTCAGACTTTCTTATTTTTGAAAATGGGTCGGGCTTTGCCTACAAATAAAGCCTTTAATAGGCCAGTAGGCCAGATAGACTGAATTTCTTTTGACATAGGCTTGGGCCAGGATGGCCACAGCCCAGCCCAGCCCATTTACACCCTTAATTGTCACATCAGTCTTAAATGGTTTGTGTCACAATATATTTTAAAAGTATATAAAATAATAAAATAATCCATGGACTCTTGGGGCATCCCCGACCTTACCTTACCCTTGGCTTCCACAACTTCAATTTTTCATAATTGGGCAAAGTATCAGTTCTCTTTTTAGAGTGACCCAACCTCAGTAAAGCCCTTTTGTCAAAAATGAAATCACCCCATGAGAGCCATTGAAGCAAAGATTATTTGCATTTCTTCACCAATTCTAGACGACGGTATGGGTCCCGACAATCAATTATATGAAACTACAATTCAATGAGGTTGGTAGCCTTAACCGGATGTGATAACAAGGAAAGCCCGAAGGCTGTTCCCGTCCCTGTCAGGGGAGATGCCAACAATTCTTAAGTTTCAAAAAGAAAAAAGAAAAAAGAAACTACAATTCAAAAATAATCAGCCATTTACTTATCTCCATACATACTTAACGTGTGGAGGCTACGAAGAGAAATGGGATTGGGCCATAAAAATGTTTGTGTGGTCGGTCCAGAATGACCATATTTTTTCCTTTAAATCCAACAGTATAGTACTACTGTAATACATACTAAAAATATTCTAGAACCTTAAAAATATACAATATATCTAAGAAAATTTGCTTGTCTTTTTAGATGACACAGCTTATATTATTTTACTCTCACAAAAAGGTGGGACCCATACCTTTATTTATTTTTATCCACTCTCTCCTCCATAATTTATATCTCTTTCTCTTACTTAAAATAATATAATTTTATATCATTTAAAATGATACACATCTTTTCCATATATGTAATAACAAATTTTCTGGTTATTTGTTCATCGAATATTACCTGGTTTGACAGTGCTAATGTGATCTTGGAAGTGCTGATGGTCCGACGGTACTGGATCGATGAACCGATTGGTAACAAATTTTTTTTATCATTTTAAGCCACATGTGCTCATCCGTTTTCTTTTTCTAAATACATGTTATAATGGATTCATTTTGTTGTCTTATTACAATGAATGAGTCCAATTGCGGAAGCTATTCGTGGACCATTTGTCTTCCCTTTTTTCTTTTTTAAATAAAAAATTTCTAGAAGAATGATCAATTTTGGTCTCTATTATATTCATAATTCTAATAAATGACGTAATAAATAAATTGTCACATCAGTCTTAAATGGTTTGTGTCACAATGATATATATATATATATATATATATATATATATATATATATATATATATATACAGACAGGATCCTTTGACACCGGTGTCAAAAAAAAAGTTTGACACCTCATCTGAGAGCCGTTAGATTAAAAAAAATCAACGATTCTGATTTGTAAGCATGTGACACCATTGATTTTTTTTAATCTAACGGCTCTAAAATGAGGTGTCAAATTTTTTCTTTGACACCGGTGTCAAAGGATCCTGCCTCTATATATATATATATATCCATGGACTCTTTGCTTAGCCCCCGACCTTACCCTTGGCTTCCACAGCTTCAATTTTTCATAATTGGGCAAAGTATCACGTCTCTTTTAACCCAACCTCAATGAAGCCCTTTTGTCAAAAATGAAATCACCCCATGACTCCATGAGAGCCATTGAAGCAAAGATTATTTGCATTTCTGCAAATTCATAGAGAGAGAGACCGGGTAAAGTACCATTTTAAAGTTTTTGGACAAAAGAATTGTCCGATTAAAGCTGATTGCATAAGTTTTTTCAAAGTAATGCAGTCAAACATGTCACCTATGCTGACGGGACTAGTCCCGTCACTGATACTGACGGGACTCGTGCCACGTCAGCGTCACGTAAGCAGTCCAATTACCGTAAATTTTCGGAAGACCATAACTTGTGTCTCGGGTATCCAAATCAGATGATTTATTTTTTTGATTTCACATAACTTTTCAAGATCTACGCAATGACACCTCATTTGATATATTTTATCTCCCACAAACATATTCTTATGGATAAACACTCTTGTGATTGTGATACAATTGTTACAAATTCAAACTATGTTTGTGGGAGATAAAATATGTCAAACGAGGTATCATTGCGTAGATCTCGAAAAGTTATGTGAAATCAAAAAAAAAATCATCTGATTTGGATACCCGAGTCACAAGTTATGGTGTTCCGAAGATTTACGGTAATTGGATTGCCTACGTGACGCTGACGTGGCACGAGTCCCGTCAGTATCAGTGACGGGACTAGTCCCACCAGCATAGGCGACATGTTTGACTGCATTACTTTGAAAAAACTTATCCAATAACTTTAACCGGAAAATTCTTTTGTCCAAAAACTTCGAAATGGTACTTTTCCCGAGAGAGACGCCAAATTATTAAACCATTCGGATACAAAAACAAAAACACAAACAACACTTAATTAAATACTTAAATCTGCAACACTGCGTACAAGATGAACTTTAAATTAACAAAACAGAGAGAGACACACACCAAATTGTTAAACCATTCGGATACATAAACAAAAACACTAAGCCACAGAGAACCTAAGCTGGTTATTAGAATGTCGTAGTCGATTCTTCAGTACTAGAGCCTCAGCTCCAAATCAACCCCACCAAATGGTCCAACTTCAAGTCTCAGCTCCAAATCAACCTCATCAAATTCACGGACGAAGGGTGGTTGGTATTGAACATCTAACTGCGAGATTAGATCCATAGTAGGTGGTGGCGGCGGCGGCGGCTGCAGCTGCAGCACTTCCACGGAGTTACTTCCTTGGCTACTTTCGAATGAAAGATAACTACTTTCTTCGGTGCTCTCTGCCTCCATAGCTCGGAGAAGAGCCTCGAATTAAAATTTTTTTAGTACAAGAGCCTCGAATTATATATAGGCAAGGAATGCTTGCTCTGCGTCTTCATCTCTGAGAAGAGCCTCCCAATATATACAGGCAAGGACCATGGCTCATATGTCTTAATCAGAACCAATCGCTTTCTTCATTTTTCATCATTCACTCTGACTCCAGAATTTAAATTAGATTCTTCCACTTCTGTTTTTGCCTTTCGTCATTTTTAACAGAAATAAGATAAGCAGTTTGGATTATCTAAGGAGTTTGGAAGTGACTAAAGTCAACAACCAATTGTGAGTTGTGTTTATAATCCAAATATATTATAAACACTTATAAGTTGTACCACATTATGTGCCTATGGGTTAGGTATGTGTAACAAATATTTTAAGAGAAGTTATGACTTATGAGTAACTTTGTGACAACTGGATGTGAAAACATTTAAGCTTACGTTGGGGAATATTTTCAGGAAGCCACTGCATGTGTCAAATGTCATTTTCAGTTGTGGCTTTCACAAATCCCTCTCTCTTCTCCTTTTACAAATCACCACAAATGAAAATGTCATATACATTTTGTCATGTACCTTTAAAATTTCATATAGGTGCATATCGAGGTTATCGGATATGAAAATGTCAAAATTTTCTAGTCAAAAGGTGGACACTTATCCTTTCTCCCTCTTTTTTTTATAGATACGGTTAGTTTAATTTGGTCACTGTTCGCTTAACATGTTGAGGTTGAAATTTGTGAATGAGAAAGGACAGTAGTCACGGCATGCCAAACTTCTAGTCACCAGTGAGATATTGAGGTCAATATCGTTACCGGTGAAATATAGGATATTTCTGTCAGAAATAATCAAGTGAGGAGTGATAAAATTTCATATCAATTAAAAATGTTTTATGTGAATATCATATAAGTATAAAAAAAATCCCACACAACTTTTTGAGTTCAAATGTGATAACGGTTCACTTACTATGATTTGTTATTTGGCCCATTAAAGAATATATCTCTTATTTTGTGCTTTCTCGTACTATTCTATAAGTGATATTAGAGTCAAAGGTTTGGCTGGACAGGGTATTTGGAGATGATGATATTTCAAAACCTCTGCAAAAGGCTAATATGGTGATATTTCTAGAATTCCACATAAAGTTAGTGTGGCTTCAATACTTAAAAAAGAAACTTCCATCGAAGTTGCCCTGAGGAGAAAGCATGATGTTGGGCCTCACACTTGAGAAAAAAATGATGTTAGAAATAATCAAATGTGAATATGTTTCAATTGAGTACCATATAATATTGTGGTTTGTCATTTAGCATATTAATAGATGTATATCTCTTGCAAAAAGTTTTGGAATCCCTTGTACATTCTATCAATTTCACACATTTCACACAAAATAATGTATGGAATAAAATTATAAGGATTATTAGTCATACATTATTCTATAGCAATCCTTATTTTACACATGTCCAACAACCTCAAGATGCAGCGATATCATATCCGATAACCCCACCCCTTGCAATTCATCAAAAATTCAAACTAACATACTAGCTAGATCCATAGTAGGTTGGTCAAAACATTTGACTAACCTCAAAATGTCTCTACCACGTCACCACCTTTACTCATCACGTCAGAGATGAGGACTTCGAAGTCAAAAGTGACTCGGAGAAAGGCATCACTTTCGATTCCTTATGTTAGGTAGACACATTCTCATGTTGCCTATGGAGCCACATACTGGTCTTTCATACTAGCTAGATCCATAGTGGGTTGGTCAAAACATTTGACTAACCTCAAAATGTCTCTGCCACGTCACCACCTTTACTCATCACGTCAGAGATGAGGACTTCGGAGTCGAAAGTGACTCGGAGAAAGGCATCACTTTCGATTCCTTATGTTAGGTAGACACATTCTCATGTTGCCTATGGAGCCACATACTGGTCTTTCATTCGGTAAAGAATAACAATCAATGTGGGACTATATATCTCAACACGCCTCTTTACACGAGAGTTCATTCGGCTTGAAGAGTGGACAATGCAACAGGTTCAGCCTACCTGTGCTAAGAAACGCCACAAGAGAAAATGGGGGGCGGCGAGGCTCTGATACCATGTAAAGAACATTGAGGTCACCACCCTAAAAGCTAACTCAAAGTGTGGGAGTGTCCAAGGCCTTATAAAGGCCACATTAGTTGCCCACACAATCACTGTGGGACTATATATCTCAACACATTCCAAATTAGCCAAGGAAGCAACTGCGTGGAAGAGGGACCAAGAAAACAAAATTCACACAACTTCAAAATTTTTAAAATAAGTAGCCAAGTTTAAAGTTGTATTCAAATAATATATTTTTAACCTTCCAGACTATTGGATTCAAATTTGGACAGTTATGAATAAAGGCTTAATTTGTGTCTGCGGATCAATTATGGCTTTTTGTCCTTATAGTTTTGATTTTCTCTCTTTTGCACCCTGCTGATGTATCTTGATTCTTGGGTACGAGACATTGATAAGAATTTCTATCCTCGCATGCTCTATAATACTACTTCTCAGCATAACTGGCATATATGATAAAATTATCTTAATTAATTTGTATTGGCAGATACATAATTACATCTTATTTAAAATTATC